CCTGTGAAATCACATGCTGATTGAAGGAACAATCGGGTATCTTCAGCATAGGACAATTCAAGCCAGAGTTCAGGGCTTCATTGTGATAGACTGAAATCACCACCTCCTCATTCTTAACTAAAGGATTTTCCCTGGAATCTCTCAGACACGCTCCTACCCTATAATCATCTGTTGCGCATTTTAATAGCGTGCTACAAAGTCCTTTTAAAAAGGGTATATAATTATGCTTCACTCATGTGTACAACCTATGGGAACTGGGGAGGAAGAGGAGAACAGGGAGACAGAAATGAGAAATAGTGAATCTCACTGAGCTGTTCAAACTGTTACAATCTCCTTTAAGCAAAACCTTGAACCAATAAACTTGGTGTCCCTTCCTCAAGTGGGAACGGGTACACTGGAAAAATGGCACATTCGTAACTTTGACTAAAACACCACCAAATGTAAGATAAGTGTTTTTTAAACACAATAACTTGATTTCAAATTCCTAACCTGTGAGGGATCCTGAACAGGAAGACAAGCTACTTTAATGAAATTAAGTTCACATATACCTGAGCTTTGTACCTGGCATAAGACAACACAAACCAAATTTACCTTACTTAACTACACTATGCCAAGATTTTTATTCTCAGCATTTCAGTGAGGAGCAGCTGGGATACACATTAATTAATGACAAAATATGCTTATCAAACAAAACAAACACTAGAATGACATTTATTTAATCATTGCTTAGGAAACAACACTGTTGCAATCCTTAACGCATATTCCTACCCTAGAGATCTGTGCTGCTACTGAATCCATAAGCAAGTACATCAGTTCCATTCAAAAAAGCCTTTGCACTTTTGAAAATTTACACAAGAACATATACCTTTTCAAAAGCACAGAATTTGCAGCACTGTTATTCAGATTTATGCAGTAATAAGTATCTCTCACAAAAACGGTACACTTAGGCAGAATTTGCTCCTTCACTTGCCTAATTTTGGGGTTTTTTTTACACCTATCATCAAGAGGGATCAGGTAAGCTAGTTTACGTGGCTGTAAAGTTATATTTGAGCAGCCACCCCTCCCTGCTCCTCATCTCCATACCTGGCTGCAGGGTCCATTCCTTCTCTGCCTATGCTTAAACTGATGCCTACCCAAATAGGCAGTAAACCGACACAAATAGGGAAGCTGACATTGACAAAAACTGATCACTTTTTTTGAGGACTTAACCTGGAGTGAGCTCATCTCCCTGGTAGAGAAAAGAGGGTAGAAATAAAGGTCTACATAAGGCCAGTCCAACAAAAACTTCTAGCTAGGTAAGCTGCTGCATAACCACAGAGAGAGCCCCTTAGAAAAGTGAATAGTTTTCAAAAATATTTGCAAAACTGGCTCTGAACAGATTTAAATTTAAGCAAACAACAATACTTAGCAATACTGACATACTTACATCTCCAGTGGGAGAATTCCAAATATTAGGCTAGTGAGCGATCTGCAACTGTTAAACTTAGAAATACAGCTTCTACTCCTAGTCCCAACAGAAAACATTATGCTTCCTTTTTTCTGGATTGTTTTTGAGACATCTATCATTCCACTTCAACAGGCATCCTAGGAAGCATGATGAATGCTGACACATTCGTTGAAAATACAACTTGAAATATCTGAAGTGTGGCTCTCCTTTGAAAAGACGAACGCTTTTAAAAGACTTAAATTTAGGCAAAACTGATCAACACACTGACAAGCTGGAGTATCTCAGGATAAAGGAAGGTGTTTTGCTGTAAAGTGTCTGTTGAACATGGAATAAACCACCTGCCTCTGCTGATCATCTAAATAAGAGAAGTTACTGACAAGCAGTCACTTTTTAGCAAGTTAGGACACCAGAAAAGCAGTTTGCAGAGCCAGTAGGGCTGCTATGCCACGGCTGATATGAAAAAACACTGCGTGTTTTATTCTTAACTTTTCGAGAACCGCGCTCCTACCACCAGTTTGCAGGGCTTTATCCATCCCAACACACGCGATCTGCACCTCCTTGTGCAGCTTAAACCCCCCTTAAGCCATTCCGCCGTCTTTCC